TGCTCAGAAGGTTGGATAAATTATCAAATAAATGTATGATTTAAATTGTAAAGAAACATTGAAAAAAACTCAAAATTTTACAGATGAGAAAACAGAGGCTTAGAAAGGTTATGTTATTTAGTCAAGTTCACACAATTTACAACGGAAGCAGGACACCCAGGCAGCAGAGGCTCCAGGGACCCCTACTCAGTGGTCCAGGATTCTCAAGAGGGGTGAGGCCAAGAGAGCAAAAGAGGTCATTCTAATGATCCAGGCATCAAGTGAGAAGAAAAGTATAGAATCAAGGCAATTTTACTATCTGGGGTTTGTAGGACGCAAGAACAGAAGCGAGGGATTCCAAAGTGGGGATCTGACTTAAGGATCAAGATGGTGAGCTGGGTCCCTGAAGTGTTGGTCTGTTAGATTGCAGTAATTTAACTATGTGGAAATGATCAAAAGTCCGTTGGAGACACTGAAGTAAAACTATGAAGGGACATTAGGGCAGGAGGCATAAATATCAGTTGTAGGAGTATCACAACATGGACAAAATCTCAAAAGAATAGACTATAAAGAGAAAGTAGCAAAAGCCAAAGTGTCACCAGAGTAGAGACATTGGCAGAAAACTGTCTTTAATTGTTCAGCATGTGTCACTTTTGCTAGGTAGATGTGCCATTCACTATTTCACCTCATTAGCCACACCATAAACCTGTCAAAGAGGTGACAAGAGAGCAAACCTTTGCCTTTTGCCTTCCAACATTTATTCTCTTTTTTTCTATCAAACTACAACAATTTGGGCTTGATCAAAATCCTCCAGCACTTCAGCACAAGGACCAGTCATGTGACCTAACCTAAGCCAACCCACACCTTCCATTCCCCTAGCCACAGTGATTGGTTCAGGGATAGATGCAAGAGCCAATCAGCTTCAATGGAACACAGACTTTTGCTGGAGAAGCTACAACTGTCTTGTTACCCTTTGAAGCCTGACACTGGAGTAAAAACTGAAGAATCAAAAGAGGAGGAAGAAATTGGGTCCTAGATGATTTTTGAGTCCTGAATCAAAATATGCCTACATGGGAACCCACAACCTTTTCTCTCACATCAGACAGTAAATTCCATTTAGAATTGAGTCTTCTAGCCTTTGCAACAAAGGGATTCCTACTGGATACAGAAATGTTCATATTTCAGCTCAAGCAAACTAGATTCCAAGAGCTTAGCTAATTTGTCCAAATTCATGTATCTATTAAATAATCAAGCCAAGATTTGAAGTCACTTCTTTATTTCAGCTCGAGAATCTGGCAAGTGAGAAAAGCTAGATTTCCCCCCCTTTTATGTGTTCTTTTTAGTCATACATAACATTAGGATTCATTTTGACAGAATTATATAAGCATGGGATATAATTTGCTCTAATTCAGACCCGAATACTTCCCCTCTCCCTCCTCTCCTCCCTCTCTCTTTCCTTCCCTCTACTCTACTGATCTTTCTGCTATTTACTTTTCAGGGCTATTTTTTTTATATATTGCACTGTGACAAACAGGAAAAAAATAAAGACACCACAGAAAGATGAAGCCAAGAAAGAACAAGTGAAGAACAGTGTAAATGAGACACACCGTTAGTGACTTTTGTGGGTTCTGGAAATCTGAGATTTTTCTGGTTGCTCCAATCTCTCCCAGTGCCTCAGCAAGAAAGGAGATCAAGGATGTGTCTACCTGGTTACCTGGTAGACTATTTTAAACTCCAGCTATTTATACAGCATTAAATCGAAATCATTTCAAGCATAATATCTGTTCACCAATTTGCTAAAACAGCGACCTTGGCTATCTATGAGGTCATAATTTGCATCTCCTTGCTGAGAACAATCCTTAGTGCCAGGAAATTATAGAAAACAAACCTAGACACACAAAGATGCTCGGTTTTTAGAAGGACACCACCATGAATTATTCTAATTATTCAGCCTTTCCCACCAGAATAATGTGAACACACATTCTGGAGGAGAAGAGGAGGACCGACGTGTCCCTTTGTGGCAGCCCTCCATGGGGAGTCAATATTTGAAGTTCTATGTTTTCCGTTTCCTGCCAACATTGCATTCGCCATCATACATCTGTTTATCTTCATATAAAAATATTTAGGCATTTATCAATTAAACCACGTATTGCAACAAAATATACTAGTGAAACTAATTCTTCGGTTTCATGCAATGTCTGCATCTTGCAGCTTCTCTCACACTCAGCTCACCAACCAACACCCCAGGTGTTAGAGATCAGAGAAGCTGAGATAACAATGACGCAGAACAATGGATTAGTGCTTTCTGCTTGCCAGACACCTGTTCTGGGTGTTTTGCAAACATTAACCATTTAATTATCACAACCGCCTGTGCATTAGGTAGTATTCCTATTCCCCGCTTACCATCAGAACACAGAGTCTCAAGATACAAAGTGACTTGTCCAAGCTCCCATCAGCCATGAGGGGCTGAGTTAGGTTTTGGTTTTAATAGCTGACTCTTGACCACTCAGCAATATGCCTCTCAAGTCCATCAGCCCTTAACATAGAATCCCACCTGTCATCTGAGGACTGTAATAAAGAATGTTTTTAAAAGAGATGGGGAAATATGCGTTGGACACAGACTTTAGGGGTAATTCAGTAGGATCTATCAAAATTCTGTATGCTTATCCCTATAACCTGGCAATTCCATTTTTAGGCATCCCTCCTCGTGAAAGACTGGTTGAGGGACAAGGTACACACAGGATACTAAAATTGATACTGAGACTCTTTAACTCTGGCACACCCAGACAGTGGATCGGCATTGAACCATTATAAAGAACAAGGCCAATGATTATGTGTAACATGGAAAATTCTCTAAGGTATGAGTAAGTGAAAAGGGAAAGTTGCAGAAGGATTTGTACAGGTATGTGGTGGGAAGGATAGTAGAAAAATCAGACGTTAGTACCCTAGGAATCTACATCATGTAGAACCAGAAGAATAAGAAATCACACGCCACTATATATGATGTATCAAAGTGCATGCTCCTGTCCTGTATAATTAATTAAAATGAATTTTTTAAAAATTTAAATCAAAAAAGAAAAGAAGGACTTGTGCGGGAAGAGGCAGGATTTAGACATTTAGGTTGAAAACAACGTAAAGCTATATTTTTTGTCAACATAAACTATATTGATACAGCAGTCTCCGTGGCAAACAGCAGTAGAGATTTTGGCATTTGATGATGGTTGATGTCCCAAGAGACATCTGAGAGCCCAGATAATAGGCATTACACTCAGTCACCAGGAGAGAAAACAGTGACAGTTACGTTGAGGGTGTAGGAAAATGCATTTCTTTATCCAAGATGCTAGAGAAACTAGAAAAAAATTGTCTCCTGCAGGATAACATGGCGACATTGGGGGACGTGTGAGTCAGCTTTTCATGGCTGTGAAAATACTTGACGTGAACAACCCAAAGGAGAAAAGATTCATTGGGACTCACAGTTTCAGAGGCATGGTCCTTGGTCAACTGGCTCCATTGCTTTAGGAGAGAGGTCATGGCAGACCGAAGCTGCTGGCAGCCAGCAGGCAGAGAAAGAGACAGGAAAGAGCTGGAGACAAGAAATAGTCCCTGAGGGCATGCCCCTGGGGATCCACTCCAAACAGGTTCCACCCCCTGTAGTTTCCACCACCTTCCAATAATCCACTCAGCTGTGAATCCCTCAGTGGGTTAACCCATTGATGAGATTAGAGCTGATCACTTCCCAAAGCCCCACCTCTGAACCCTGCTACACTGGGAACCAATCCTTCAACACTGGAATCTTTGGGGGGTGGGGGATGACACGTTCCAATCTAAACAATAACAAGAGGTAGAACATGGAATATGGAATAATGATAATCCTAAACTGGTCCTTTGCTTTGATTGCTCAAAAGACTGACTGCATCCCACGCAGAGATGACGCATATGGCTTAAAGTCACTCAGTGAATTAGGGACTGAGCTGCCACCAGGCTGTCTAGTAAGTACCAAACCGCTCCAATCTCAACTTGCTCTGAGTTGCTGATTTTTAAATTGCATTCCAAGTGCTTTCAAAGAGAATCTTCATCTCTGACACAAATTGCACAAACAAATTAGGACCCAGGTGACCAGACTCCCAGAAACCCTTCCCCAGTGCCCAAAGAGTACAGGTGTGCTGTTTTCAATAAAGAGTCTTCGTCTTGCAAGTTGTGTGTGAGTTTTTATTTCAAATTCTTGCTATTTTTCTCTGTTTCTGTTTTATTGCAGCACCCACCAATAAGTATCATTTTAAAATAATATTGCTTTTCCTGTGCTGTCTGCAACTATTCTGGCACATTCAGTCATCCATTCCCTCTAATGTGCTCTGTATACCTTGCTTCTTGCTATCTAAACTTGCAAGGTCCAGCAGCTGGAACTTGGAGTTGAGTCCGATTACTGCGGGGATGCTGCCCCCTGCAGGCCACCGCCATGAATGGCCTCTTAAGAGGGAAGCCTGTTTCCAGATACTGGCAATTACATTGTAACAGCTATTGTGCTCCGAGTCCTTTAGGAAGATTATCTCATTTCATTCGCACAACAAGCCCATGAGGTTAAGAACTATTATCCTCTTCATTTTTCAGAGGAGAAATATGAGTTCCAGAGGGGTAACCTGTCCAAGATCACATTGCAAACAAGCTGCAGAAGCAAGGTTTCAAAACAGGCTGTCTCTCTCCAGCATCTGCCCTGCTAACACTATGTTATACTCCCTCCCAGAGCGAAGGTAATAACAATTTTTGAGCAGCTATACCATGACAGTCATCCTTTCACTTAATCTGTCAGCCAAAAGTAAATTAACTAGGAAAAGAAACTGACTGACTTTGGGTCATGTCCACAGCATTGGATTCATCTGGGTGATGTTCAGATCTCCCTGTGGGAAGCCTTTGTTGGAAGGTGCAATTGATTGACAGCCACCACAACTGCTACACCCTCTAAATAGCTGCAGCATTTGCACCAAGGCCAGGCTCTCTGTGGGGCTCTCCCAGCCAGTGAGCGAGCATTTCTGAGGCGCTTAGGACTCCTGGGAGGGCAGCCCTTGCTTGGAGGCTCCCTGTGGGCCTGGTGAGGCTCCCAGAGCTGCACTGCCAAGCTCTCTCCTTCCTGCCCTCACTTGGCAGGTGTCAGAGCTGCACTGTGGCCTTAGGGTCTGCAACCCACACCTTCTCCCTTCTCCTTCATCCTTCACAGATAATGTGGCCATTTGGGGATCCAGGCAGGTGACTCAGACCCTAATCTTATGCTCAAGTTGCTTGCATAGAGTGGAGGTTTCATGAACATCAATGGCTCTAGGACAGGATAAACAACCATGAGGATCAGCAATACAGAGGGAAGAAGTCTGGGATTTATAGTCAGAAGCTGCCATCTTGGGCAAGTTACTTCTTACCTAGTCCTGGCGTGTGGTATGAATTCCCCCTCCAAAATTCATGTTGAAATTGAATTGCTACTGTAAGAGTGTTGAGAGGTGGGACTCCTGTAAGGTGATTAGGCCCTGGGGACATGGCCCTCATGAATGGATTCATGCTGTTCGCATGGAAGCGGATCAGTTGTGACAGTGGGCTCTGATAAAAAGCCCACCCCCTCTCCCCGACAGGCTGACTTGCCATTCGGAGGCCTCCACCATGTTGTGATGCAGCACGAGGATCCTCACCAGATGCCTGCACCATGCTCTGAGATGTTCTGTCCTCCAGAACCATGAGCCAAAGAAGTTCCTAGTCTTGGCCCTTTGTTATAGCAGCACAAAACTGACCAAGACACTTGGTTTCCACGTGTGCAAACGAAAACCAGTAGAGTACCAGATCCCAGCTACAAGTTACATGCTTTTGTGGCTAAGGAAGTGTCGCACTTAGGTGGACCTGGGTTCAGCTTCAGGCTGGATTAACTTGAGCAAGGGGTTTAGCTTTTCTGCAATTCCGTTTCTTCATCTGTAAAGGGGCACATGGACACACATTTTGTGGTGTGACTATGACAATTAAGAGTGACATGTATGTAAAGAGTCTGTTTATAATAAATCTGAAATGCAAGGCAGCTGTGCCCCAAACTCTTCTGGTAAAAATAAAGAGAGATCATCTAAGGGGAAGTGTTCTATAAGGACTACTAGACAGGCAGAGGCCAGTTACTGCTGTTATTGAAAACGTCACAAGAGAGAATGGAATTGCGGGGTCTGAGATTCAAAGAAGAGGGAGGATTGGCAGAACTGAGGAAGAGGGGCTCTGGGAAAGGTCGAGGTGGAGGTGAAGATCAGGGGGAATGGCAAAGGCAAGAGGGTGCAGGGTCGACTCACAAACCTGTCTGGAGCCCATTCCCTCAAGGGCCAGCTGGGAGAGGACAAGTGGGTCTGATGAAAGTCCCCAGCACAACGTGTTAGTGGGAAGGATGGTGGAGGAGGTGGGGGACGAGCCTCAGCCATCCCAGGCCCTAAGGAGCTCACTGAGGAATTTATAATGACATCAAGGAACAAGACACACACAGTGGACACAGCTAAATAGCATCCAAGGTACTGGGGGAGTAGTGACAATGGTAATGTGGCTACAAAACCCCAAGAGCTCTTGCCTAGGGAAGGGGGTTGGGGTGAGGGCTGGGAGAAGGGAACTTGGCCCAGACAGAGGACAGCTGTAACAGGGCGGTGGCACAGTCACAGCAGACGGCTCTTTATATGTGTATCCACTTTCCAGCAAATGCCCACATGCATTCAGACGACTGCCATGCTGCCGAGGGGGGCTAGAACCACGGCTGCCCCTTCAGCAGGCTCAGCCG